ATGCAGAGCACATCATGAGAAAGGCGGGCCTAGATGAATCACCAGTTGGAATTAAGATTGCTGGGAGAAATATCAACAACCTCAGATATGCAGATGATACCACTCTCATGGCAGAAAGTGAAGAGGAACTAAAGAGCCTCTTGATGCGGGTGAAGGAGGAGAGCACAAAAGTTGGCTTGAAACTCAACATTAAGAAAACATAGATCATGGCATCTGGTCCTCTCACTTCCTGGCAAATAGATGGGGAAGAAATGGAGGTAGTGACAGATTTTATTTCCTGGGATCCAAGATCACCGTAGATGGGGACTGCAGCCAAGAAATTAAAAGACACTCCTGGGGGAAAAGCTATGGCAAATCTAGACACCATACTAAAAAGCAGAGACATCACCCTGCCAACAAAAGTGCGTACAGTCAAGACTATGGTTTTCCTAGTTGCAATGTATGGCTGTGAAAGCTGGACCATAAGGAAGGCTGAGCACCGAAGAATTGAGGCCTTTGAATTGTGGTGCTGGAGGAGACTCCTGCGAGTCCCTTGGACAGCAAGGCGATCAAACCGGTCAGTTCTAGAGGAGATCAACCCTGACTGCTCTTTAGAAGGCCAGATCCTGAAGATGAAACTCAAATACTTTGGCCACCTAGTGAGATGGAAGGACTCCCTGGAGAAGAGCCTAAAGCTGGGAACAATAGATGGCAAAAGAAGAAGGGGACGGCAGAGAATGAGGTGGCTAGATGGAGTCACCGAAGCAGTTGGTGTGAGCTTGAGTGGGCTCCGGGGGATGGTGGAGAACAGGTAGGCCTGGAGGAATGTTGTCCATCATGATGGGTCAGAAACGACTTCGTGACTAACAACAATTTATTTGGTAATAGACTTTGAGAAGCTATTTAAAGAACCGTGGCAGCAAACAACTCCAGTGGCAGCGGGGGGAGAGCTGCTGTAGCTGTGCCAGGAGACAGGGCTTCCTCTGCATGGGGCTTTTTCTGAAGCTGGCACCCAAGGTGCCTTGGGTGGTTGCCGAAGGATAGTGGCAAAGGGTATAGCTCACTTGGCACTTACTCAGCACCAGTTGGGTCTGGGATTCCTGGTTGGTAGATTGAAAAGAGGTCAACTTCACATTCATTGGTGCAGCAGCTTGTTAGTTACAATTATTTTATGGTTTTAGTATATTACTCTGATTAATGTCTGGGAGAATGGGGGTGCACCTATTAGTGTTGTGATGGGGAGGAAGAGATATGGCTTTGGAGTAGTAAGAGGCCAGTGAAGGGGAGAAGGTAAGATATCTTACAGCTATCCCCTCTTCTGGTTTTTCCTCAAACCAAATAATTCCCGACAGTTGTACCGGCTTACCTTCAGGCTTGGATTGCTGCTGCTGAATGCCAGGTCAGTCCAAAATAGGATCTCCCTCATCCATGACTTGATTGTGAATGAGGGGGCTGACCTGCCTTGCATTACTGAGACCTGGGCAGGGGAGATGGGAGGGGTTACACTCTCCCAGTTGTGCCTATCTTAGGTACTAGGTGTGGCACCAGCATTGCCTTGAGGGTGTGGCAGCCATGGTCTATAGGAATTTGATCTCTCTCTCTCTCTCAGGTTCCTGTTCACTCAAGTGCAGGTTCTGAGTGTTTGTATCTTGCATTGGGAATTTGGGACAGATTAGGGAGTTTGCTGGTGTACCACCCCACCCTGTTGCCCAGCAGACTCCCTTCCTGAGCTGATGGAGGTGGTCTCAGACCTGGTGTTGAGGATCCCCAGAATGGTTGTTCTGGGAGATCTAAACTTCCATGCCTTGTCTGGGGTGGCTCAGGACTTCATGGCCACCCTGGCAACATGGTTTTCTCAACTGGACAGGAGGATGGTGATCTGGAAGTGTCTGTGTGTGGGGTGGGGGGGTGGAGTAACATTAACTCCCTCATCATGGTCACACCACTTCCTTTTGAGGTTTAGATTTTCATCTCCCTCTTTCTTTTGCAAAGGTGGGTGACTTTTTAAGATGGTCTGAGTTTTTCTAGCTGATATGGTTGGCATTCCTGGAATATGAAGATTGTTGAGATAAAGTTACTCAGATTAGTTGCAAATTGGCCACCACAGTTAATACAGTTCCATTAACAGAGGGATCCAGAGCACTATCTGGATAATTTTGTTGGATGAGTTCCAGTTACTGAGATCTGTGGATGTGGACAAGGTGCTTAGTCAGGTTCAACCTACCTCTTGTATGCTCATTCCTTGCCTATCATGGCTTATTGGAAGAACTAAGGAAGGGATTCATACCTGGGCCCAGGAGGCTATAATGTCTCTCTAAGAGAGGGAGTAGTGCCAGCCTCTCTAAATCAGCCTGTGATCAAGCCACTCTTTTAAAAAGTCTATCTTGGACCCTGTGGATGTGAATAATTATATGCCTGTTGTCAACACACCCTTCATGGGCAAGGTGCTAAGGTTGGTGGTGGCCAGGCAGCTCCAGATGCTCTTGTGTGAAGCAGACTATCTAGATGCATGACAGTTGGGTTTCAGGCCTGTTTTTGGTATGGAGATTGCTTTGGTTGCCCTGTGGGATGACCTTTGCCAGGAGTGCATCCTTGTTGATTCTCATGGATCTCTCATTGATCATGGTATCCTTCTGGAAAGGCTGCCCAGGTTAGGAGTAGGAAGTACTGCTTTGTGGTCGTTCTGCTCCTACCTGGCTGGCCAATTCCAGAAGGTGGTGCTGGGGGATTAGTGCTCTGCATTGTCTTATTCCCCAACTGGAGGTTTGGACTGAAGTACTATTAATATGCTGATCATACTCAGTTCTACTCAGTTCAAACCCAGGTGAGGCAGTGACCATTCTTAATCAGAGCCTGGACTTGTAATGGACTGGATAAGGGCTAATAAGTTGAGACTCAGTCCAGACAAGATGGAGGTGTTGTTGATGGATGGATCATCTGTTCATTTGGGAGATATTCAACTTGTCCTGGACAAGGTTGCACTCGCCCTAATGGACAAGGTTCATAGTTTTACAGTGCTCCTGGATCCAGAATTGTCACTTGAGTCACAAGTGGACTCAGTGGCATAGAGCACCTTTTATCAGCTGATTTACCTTTCTAGACAGAGAGAGCCTCACTACAGTTATCTACACACTGGTAACCTCTTATTTGGATTAATGCGTCACACTTTACATGGGGCTACCTTTGAAAATGAAGTCCAGGCCCAATTCAGAGTGCTGATTCTAAACATTTAAAGACCTAAATGGCTTGGGGCCAGGTTATCTGTAGAGACGCCTTGGCCTCAACCTGTATGTTCCTACCTAGCCCCTAAGATCATCCACTAAGGTCCTTCCCAGGGAACCACCCCCTACCCCAAAGAAGCAAGGGGTGTCCCCAGGAGTAGGGGCTTTTCAGTAGTGGCCCTCCATTTTTGGATCATGCCCCCCAGAGAGGTATACTTTAAAGAGATACTTTATACTTAAAGAGATACTTTAATAGGTAAGTGCTAGTTTTTAAAAATTATTTAGATTATTATTGTTATGCCCATGCTAATTATAATTATAGTCTTGATATCGTTGCTGTGGGTTGTTAATATCACTGTATTGGCTTTATTGTTTATTGTTCTCTTTAACTACAATTATGCTATTGATTGTTTATGTTTTTTACATTTGTAAACCTCCCTGAGAGCCTGTGGGGTATGGGGTGGTATAGAAGTGCAATAAATAATAATAATAATAATACTGATGGGGATTTTTATTTGTGGTGTTTGGAGGTTCTTTGCAGTTCAGCTGAACATAGTGTTTTTCTTTTTCTTTCCTTCCTTTCTTTACCCTGGGTCTTTGAGGTACATAATGCTATCTCCAAGGCATTAGAGAATGAATGCTTTGCGTTTCTGCATTTGGGCATGTGATGATCTGCATTGTATTAAACATGAGTAGTGGATTTGTTAGGCTCTTGTTGTTTGTTTATTTCTTTTTTAACTTGTCTAGAGGAGTATATATGCTATGTATGTAATTTTTATGCTGTTAGCAAGGAGGTCAAAGAAACTGCACTAGTTTCCTTTCAGAGGATTAACATTATATAATCACATGAATACTCAACTAAAATGACTGGAAATGTCCCCACTAATACCATCTTTCATATATTTCTGCTATGGGACTGAACTGATTTTTTAAAGAGTGTCTTCTAGCAAGAAAAACAGCTAACTTCTAAGTTAAAAAGCAATGTAGTGCACTGTTTTGTGTGTAAGAGAGAACTTGACATGTGTATATAATTTTGGTTATTGAATGCAAATCATAGACCGCAGGTATACGTGAGGGCCAGTGAAATGAAACAGATTTACTGCATATTTTAATATACAAGTAAAGACTTTTGAGTTCAGTGGGACTTACTCCCAGGCAAGTGGGTATAGGACTTTAAGTACTAATACATGCAGTTAAGTCCCATTGGTATTAATGAGATTCAGACACACTTACAGAATACTGCAGACCCGTTATTACAGCCCTTGTGAAGCCTACTTCTTCCCCAACCCAGCAATAATCAATACTGATAGCTTCTAGAGCATGCCTGAGAAATTTTGCTGCCAGGTGTGCAAAGAACATGAGCGCACCTCTCCTGTTCCATGTATGAATGTGGACAGGACTGGCAGTTGAATCTTTCTTCAGTGCCAGAAGGGGACAGTAATTCGGTGCTGCACCTGAAGGAAGCAGTTAAGCTTAAGTAACACAGGACAAGCCATGGGGAACGCAGCACTTCCATTCAACACCATGCTGCCACCCTCATCATCTGCTGCTGAAATGACTGAGTCACTGTCTAGTGGCCAGAACCCTAGTGGCCCTGTCAGCTTTGAAAGCACTGATCAGCCCTCCTCCACCCTCTCCTTTATAAAAAAAGACATTAATTAGTTGGCTTAGAAAGGTGAATCTGCTTTTCTCTGAATGTGTTTATCTAGAAGTCATGGTGCTAGTTTTCATGGCAGTATTTATTACTTTTTAAAAATTGGGGTTGTGCCGTGAGTAATTGTTGCTAGTTTTCCTTTGCAGATCACTCAGGGTGAGCCCCAGAAATCATGCTCCAAACCTGTAGCAGAGAAAGTTACTGACAGCTGCCAACATATCTGCCAATGTAGACCTCCTCCATTACCACCACCACCACCTCCACCACCACCACCAAGGTTGCTTGGGATCCCGTGTAAGTAGAGACTGCAGCTACCTCTCTTTGGGTCCAAAAATAAACTCACTGGGCAAGGTACATGTGGCAGAACATTCAGTGAGTGGGTGGGAAGCCAATTTCACTAAAAGGCCTTTTTTCTAATGGCGAATGGGAAGATATTCTAATTAAAGATGAAATGTGTTTTGGCTCACTGAACAGGGATTTCTTTCTAGAAGCCAGACAAATTCCCTCTGTTCTAAACCATATGGTTCTTTTCTCAAAGCATCTCATTGGGTCCCTAGAGTAGGATATTTCCAATGTTGTCTTATGATTTGCATTAGTATGTGCTAAATATTTTATGATCTGGCATTTAGATGGGCTTATAGTTTCCCTAGATACAGTTTCACAAACTCGCCTTCACACACAATTGTATTTGCATCTGTGTATGAGATTCTGTGTTAGGCTTTGGTCAGCATGGAATTTGCCCCAATTATTCCAGTTTTATAAATGTCCTTTTAAGTACCAACTCCAGGATTTGGGGGGCCCATGGGCAAGGCACCCTCAGTGGACTCTTTTCCCAGTGAGTCTTCCTTGTTACCGCCCTTATCACCAGCTGCCCTTGTTCCTCATTCTCATTGTTGCTACCATTTGTGTGTTGACAGCAAGAGATATGGTGGGCAAGCCGACAGTGGCATCTGCTGCCTTCTCTCCTCCACCATTGATTGGGTCAGAGTACGAGGCAGGTTGCAGTGGAGAAAAGTGGGGAGCAAGTCCACATGGCTCTTGCCAGTAGACTGTTGCTGGGTTGTGGATTGTTGGCAAATGCTTACCATTGATACCAGCCATGGCCCTCTCCCTTGAGGTGGTAAGGGTGTAGATAACATGCTGCAGGTGCAGTACAGTATAATGCAAGAAAAACCTTAGAAAACAGTTCTTCACTGTCCTGCTTGGAGATGCAACAATTGGTTGCCACATCGCCTGTTTGAAAGGATCTGGTCGTGTGGAGGGTCCAGAGTTTGATGCTGTCCCAGATGGGGTGTCCTTTACCGAGTGCTGAGTGTGCTGGTTTAAAAAGTCCATCTCTCCCAGCAATGAGGAAGCACATTACTAAACTGGAGGACAAGCAGAATGGTTTGGAGGCAATCAGATTAACTCCCATATTAGTCTGGAAAAGGATGCTCTACTGTAACTACACCAACCTGTTATTCCCAACCATTTCCCTAATAGGCTTGCTGGTTCCCTTTCATACCCTTTTTCTAGTCTTCCCCTCTGCCAGTGGGAGATGGGAGGCATGGCACGTTGCAGATGTTCTAAAAACCATGTTCCATCAGCAGTGCTCAGCTGACTGCTAGAAGAAGGCATGATGGGAGGCGTGGTATAGATTTACTGCTCAGCATAGATTTACTGAGCAGGAGTAACAATCTGTATAATATTGACTGGGTTCAGACAACATAGTAACCCAGAGTCAATCCTTGGGTTGAGTGTGGGTTGTTATTGTACTGTGAGTTACCGTGTTGTCTAATCCATCTGTGCTAACAAGCCATGAAAAGAATGCATGGCTTGTTGTTGCTTGTGAACTGTAGGTTGTTCATGTCATTTATTATATCAGTTGGGTTCAGGTGGCACAATAGCCTGTGTTTCAACAACAGGCCACTGCTGGAAAAAAAAAACATACACTCAACCAATACTTCCCACTTGAGTGTGGGTTATTGCGTTATTTGCAATGCCTCTGTGCTTATTACCAGACTCTTGTTTAAGACCAGAGAGAGAGAGAGATTTCAGTGTATTAAAGAAATCCCCTTAAGAGCAATTTACCATTGCTTTATTAAAATAAACAATGCAACAAAGCACGAAATAAAAGCAGCAAACCACAAAACGTTGTTAGCCAAGCAGTAGCAGTGGCTTCATCCAAGCTTCTCTTTGGAAGAGATTCCAGAGCCAGGGTGCCACCACTGCCCATCCCTCTGGTACCCACTGGTCAGGCTTCTGCTAGCAGAGGGGCACCTCAGTCACTCATCTTAAAAGACGGGCAGGCTTGTATAAGGAATGGAAATCTTTTATTGTTAAACAGGAGTAAATCTTTTACAAATGGGTGACAGTAGTATCTTTCTTGCTTACTCTGGATACCATTGTCTTGATACTATTAATATTCTCCTAAAAATCACTGTAATATGCAGAATATGGAGGTAGCACTTTTAGGACTGGGAAATCTCAATGTTTAAATTTATATGCAGGCAAAGATGACCACAGATCACTTCAGCAGTCTCTGTGCAAAATAATAAATGGGCTCAAATGGAATATCAAAAAACAACATTGCAAAACCAATGGGGGAGCAGTTTAGTCTCCCAGGACATGTGAGAGTTCATCTCAAAGTCTCCATACTTCAAGGAAAACATCTTCAAAGGGAAGCTCCTGTGTGAAGCTACTAAACTAGATGGCACCAGCAAATTCAGTGGTGTCAAATACAGAGGAGATGGGAGTTATCTTCCTGACTGCAGGAAACAATTGTCCCTTTCAAGGTGTCAAATTAGCATTGTAAGAAAGGCCACATTATGGCCAGTGACTGCTGTTCTGAATGGGACACTTTCTTCTTATGTTGTATATACATTTGGTTCTGCATACAAATGAGACCAACCTTCTGCTGAGGCTTGCATTTTTTGCTACACTGTTTACAAAGCTTCTACCACAATTTTGCTAGTTACAGAACTCCTAAATGTTTTCACTGGGGTTAGCATGAAATTCACATCCTCTAAACCAGGGGTCCTCAAACTTTTTCACCAGGGGGCCAGTTGAAAACTGCTGGTGCTGGGCGGGAAGGGTGGAGCTGGCGGTGCTGGCTGCTGGGAGGGGGCGGCAGTGCGGGCGCGTGCACTGAGGTGGGGGGGGCACACGGAGAGGCACAGGCGGGTGCGTGCGGCGAGAGCAGGCAAGGTGTGGGCAGGAGTGGGCAGGCACCACGAGGTGGGTGCACAAGGCAGTGGCTTGCTTTCTTAGAGATTGTTTTCTCCGAGCGAGCAAACCGCTGCCTCCCCGAGCGCCGGTTGAGGTGGGTGGCAGGGGGTGCATGCATGGGTACGTGCATGTGGTGGGTCCAAATGGGCATGGCGGGCCGGATCCGACCCCTGGGCCATAGTTTGAGGACCCATGCTCTAAACAGACATGCACACCCAAGTGCACACACTTATTTAGTTAGGGCAGGCCCTTACATTAGGCAAAGAGAGGTGGCTGCCTCAAATGAATAAGGAATTAATTAATTGGACAGTGAGTGGGATGGTGTAACTTAGTGTCCTGCAATAGCTGGGGGTTGGACCGGGTGCTCTTCTGGACCCTTTCACCTCTACTAGTCTATGATTCTATGAATGAGCAGAGCGGTTTGTGCCATGCAGTCTTCCACATGCAGCATGTGGCCCTTGTGCTACTTCTCATGGGTACTGGAAGGTACTGTACCACTGGCGGTGTTGGAGCAAGCTTCCGGTTGATTTTTCTGTACAGTGTGCAGGAGGTGCCATCTTGTCTTTTGCTTCAGCCAGCAAATTGTTTTGGACTTGGCTTGCAACCAGTTAGGCTATGGCACTAAGAAGGGCCATTTTGGCAATTTTCAGAGAAGCCAATGAAAAGTTGTTCAAGCTAATTGCTTTGTACAATTGCTTTGTGTACAAGAAAAAGATGCCAGGTTTGCTTTTGTTTTACAAAAACCAGATGAGAAGGAAAGCTTGGATTGGGAGTGTGGCACTTAAGGGACTTATCCATACAGTGTAGCTGTGTGTGTTTCAAAAGCAGCTTTAGATTCAATGTGGAGGCTTTGATTGAGGTACCTGTTAAACTAAAATAATTGTTCTCCTTCACATGAGCAGGCTTGTACACATACATAAGCAGTCACTAGTATCACAGAGCTGGAATTTAATAGGTAGCTGAAATAACTGATATATGAGTTGAAACCATATAAACAAGGATGGATGCCTCTTCTTTGTAGAGGCATTTCTTTCTCTTGACAGCATGGCAAACTAAGCAGAACCCTGCCCCTTGCTCTCAGTTAATAGAAACAAAAAGTCATTACACTCTAAAAAGGACCTAAAGTATGGGTAGAATTCCTCATTGCCAAGCTATTATTGTTCCATTTTGTTTCTCCCTCACCGATCTCAGAAAGGAATTTCTTTCATCCCTGAAACTCAAGGTCTTGAGTCTCAACCATGATAATGGACTTAATTTGTTAGTGATTTGTACTTGCACAAATGCTAACATTAACAAAAACGACTACCACAAAAAAGAGGAAAAAGATAAGAAACACTAACAGATTAAGTCTTTGGCAACAATAACACAGATGTCAAAACAAAACAGTCTTTGTACAGTTCAGATGATGGAATCTGAAATTTTTGTGGAGATAGATTAAAAAAGCTTGTCTAACTCAAGACTGGCATTATATGCTTTTATACAGACCATTATGGTATCACTCTGAAGGAAGAAGGGAGCATATGGGTTGCTCTTTGAATATAATGGTCATTTTTTTCACCAAAGGTAAACTTACCAAGAGAAGAGAAGCTGCTTCATTTGCTCCCCAGAGGCTCCTGTGATGTTCAGTTCCTCTGGCCTTCCCCCACTTTAGGATTTTTAGGTTCAGACCTTCAAAGGATCCTTGTACCTGTAACAGGGGGTTAAGGAAGCCATTTCAGCTGGAGGGCCAGATTCAATTTCAGAGAAGCTCTTGGGAACCACATTTCAGTGACGGGCAGGGCTGAAGGCAAAATGGGGAAAACAGATACGTACGTACATACATACATACATACATACATATGTTTAAAGTTTTTCGATGCTATCCATTACAAAAAAAAAAGTCTCTGGATGACTCACAAAGAGCAGCAGCAGAAGCAGCAGCAGCAGCATCTTTTAGGTTAAAGATCCCAGTACACAATCTAAGTCTTAAGAGAAGCATGTCAACCATTTTGATTGGGGGAAAACTGCAAAACAGCCAGGAAACTACCAAAGTATCAGTGGTCAGGGTGGGGGTATTTGGGGGAACCATGGAGGGCTGAATTAGGCTC